TCTCTCTCTCTCTCTCTCTCTCTCTCTCTCTCTCTCTCTCTCCAGTCACTGCACGTTTTTATAGCCAGTAAGTGGCACAAGCTGCTGGAGGATGGGTGGTTTTTATCGAGTCAACATCTCTAGACCAACTATGGTCTACAGAGCCGTGTCTGTCCTGTCTACTGACAATAGTTAAATATATTGTAAATAATGAAGGTTTTCTTGCATCAGTTTCGATGTATATATGTAATGAGCTTATTACTTAAGGTGGGAAGCACCCTGTGAGGATTGATTCATCATTTCTCATAGCAGTGCTTTTTTACTGATAAACAATATTGCTTTCATTTCTACCGGTCAAATGTTGATGTACTGTCGATAATTATGGAAAGACTCTATCATGCTCTAGATAAAAACGGTGAAAACTGAACTCTAGCTTTGGACATCGCGAAAGCCTTTGAAGGTTTACGCATACAGGTTTTTTCCACAAGCTAAAAAGGTACGGCGTCACCGGGTACATTTTTGAACTGATCCAGTCTTTCCTATCAATTCGTACTAACGCCAGTGTCCCACCCACAAGACTCCAACCTTGGTCCTCATGTTTTTAATTTTCATTAATAGCCTTGCCAATGAGATCAGCTCTCAAATTGGTATCTACGCTGATGACACAACCATTTACACCCGTCTCCATAGTAAGGCTGATCATTTCGACAAGGTCAAAATGGCAGCCGGTGTCCAAAATGATGCCCGTCGTTAACTGGTGCAAAAGATGGCTTGTTAATTTTATCGCCTCCAAAACTAAACTTCTCTCCGTTAACCATCTGAGTGAGCTCTCTCTGCATTCCACCAGCATGGCTAAGTCTAACTCCCAGGAAAGTGACTCGTTGTAACTTCTCGAGCTAACGTTTTCAACTGATATGAAGTGGAAAGACTATATTGAATCCATTGCTGGATCAGCTGCTAAGAAAATTGGTTTACTGTGTCGTTCGGGACAATTTTTCTCTCCATAATCTATCTTACATATCTATAAGTCTACCATTCATCCATGCTTAGAATATTGCTGCCACATATGGTCCGGCGCCCTTGCTATTTACCTTGAGCTCCTTGATAAGATCCAAAGAAGAATCATCAATATTATTGGTCCGGATCTGTCTGCCCGGCTTCAATCATTGCCGTAAGGTTGCCTCACTGTGCCTTTTCTATAAACCCTTTCGTGGTAATTATTCGGATAAGGTCTTCACTATGGTACCTAGACTTTACGAATTTGAGCCCAGTACTAGACTGGCGTCGAGATCTCATCAATTGACAGTTGAGCTGGCTAGATGTAACCGTAAATTCTATGCTAACAGTTTCTTTTCTCGCACTTCTCGCTTGTGGAACCCCCTTCCGGCTCCATGCTTTTCAGCCAACTTTAATGTGCAAAAAATTAAACGCATTCTCAATCACTGTCTAGATAATCTTTCCTCTTCCCGCTTATTATTAATGTTTCTCTCTTCCTAATTCTTCTACGCCCTGTAACCACTTGTGTCTTAGTGGTTTTACTCCCGAAAATGGGGTGATACCGATTAAAAAAAACACTAGTAACCTATTATGGTCGAAGGGCACTACATCTATTGTAGGGTAGCAGCAGTGGGTGCGTCTAGGGCAAAACAGCATAATGCAAACAACCCTTATTCTGGGACTACCTGCCACCCATAATCTAAAGAAAGATGGTTTTAGGCCTTCATTTTTTTTTTATCGCCCACATTTCATTAGTCTCTTCAGTGTACATGTCCTATCAGGCGACTTTCTATGAAACGAGGAGCCGCCTATGCAGATGATAATGAACATTTTAAGTGACCCCCAAAGAATACTTCAGATTTTATTACTTAATTTAATGATATGTTGCATTATCTAATGTCCAATATTAGTGTTATGGGATAAAAATCAAAATGAATTGATCGTTAAACCTAATTACAATTTAGACATGAGTCAAAAAGGTTTGACATTAGTTATGTTTATACATAAATCTACAAATATAAAGCTGGAAGGTTGTCCCTGTGGGCATTTTTTATCCCTTATTATAAGCCTATGCAGTATTGTAAGATTATGCTTTATTATAAGAATATGACGTATTATGAGAAAATGCCGTATTATAAACGATATTAAAAAAAACAAACTATGCCGTATTATAAGACTATGACGTATAATAAGAATATGCCTTATTATAAGCATATACGGGATTATAAGTTGTATTATAAAAATATGCCATATTATAAGTATATGCCGATTTATAAGCCGTATTATAAGACTATGCAGTATTATAAGAATATGCTGGATTATCAGAGTATCCCGGATTATCCTAATATGCCGGATTATGAGTCGTATTAGAAGACTATGTCGTATTAGAAGACTATGTCGTATTATAAGATAATACCTTATTATAAGCCATATTATAAGACTATGCCGTATTGTATGTCGTATTATAAAACTATACCGTATTATAAGTTGTATTATAAGACAATGCCGTTTTATAAGACAATGCCGTAGTATGACTATGCCGTATTATAAGACTATGCCATATTATAAAAATGTCCCCTATTACAAGTCGTATTATACGACTATATCGTATTATAAGAATATGCCTTATAAGCCGTATTATGAGAATATGCTGTATTATAAGTATATGCCGGATTTTAAGAATATACCGTATTATAAGTCGTATTATAAGACTGCCCTATTATAAGACTATGCCGTATTATTGGACTATGTTGTATTATATGAATATGCTGTATTACAAGCCGTATTTTAAGAATATGCCTTATTATAAGCCTTTGCCGTATTATAAGTTGTATTATATGACTATGTCATCTTAACCAATATAGGTCTTTCGTAAAAACGATGCGACATTAAGCCACTTTCGGAAAGCAGAAGTTATTTACATAAGCAAAAAATCAGAGAATATGAAAAATTAAATTCATCACTGTCCTCCTTTGGGTTCCCGGTTTTTGCCTGACAATGAGAGGGAAAAGAATTCACCAAATATTCTGGAGCACAAAAGCCCTACCCGAGGAAGGCCGATGGCAATATTTAACATTCTTCGATCTACAGTGTTACGTGTGTTTCAAAATACTTAGTGGGAAGTATAAACGCTCATTGTAGAAAACAACTTTTCCTTGATCATTGTGACCAGAGGTGTTTAGTTAGAGTTCTTTGCGGTGGCAAGTGGCATGGGCTCAGACCACATCCACATTCAATGTTGAGGTGCCAGATGCCTATACTGCAGGTAAGTTCTGCGTCCTTTAGCTTACGTGGCGTACAGGAGCAGAAGACCCATCAGGATGCTCCTGTTAACAAA